AATTTAATGTTTATCAGTACATTACAGAAAATAATGAACTTTATCACAATATGCTAATTTTTTGAGAAGGACCTGAATATTGAAAGTGAAATATCTACAAAACACATTAGAATTTCTTTTTGAGTCTACTCAAAAGAAGAATCAAAYCATATTTGATTACTTTCTAAACACACTAGTGCTTTGCTGTCAAGAAAAAAATAATTATAGAAATGAAACATCATATGTTTGTTCCATTTGTTGACATATTGGTGCTTCCTCTGTGCACAATTACTCACTCTCAGTATTTTTCTTGTTTGTAGGCTTGCTGGGTACATTTTGTGACAGTGACGCTAAACAACACCTGAATCTTACCCATGATGAGTATTTGCCTGGGTTTATCTTCCGGTGACTCACTCAGTGGAATTAATGGCAAAAAATAGTTCGGAAGACACATTTGCGAGACAGTTACTCCACTGAAAACATCATCCGATGTGTTGATCGTGTCACATCACTGACACTTTTTATGACCACACATTCAAACATGTGCACGCACAAAATCACTTATGGCGGTCTCCCTTCCTGCTTTTCACACAACATAACACCATCTGCTCTGAGAACTCAGTTACCCCAGTAACTGCTGATGTCATCTTACCCTTTCTCATTGACTGAGTGTGGTCATCAAACCACCACCATCAGACTTTGGTTAGTGTTAGTTTAGTTTGGCATGCTGTTTTAAGACAGGGATATTTCTTTGACTGAAACTATTGAAAAAAATATGTAAAAATTTAAAGCTAGAGGGATTGTTGCAAACAAAGTTTCRCAACATTAGAGAGAAAAGAAGAACGCTTAGACATGGGTATGGGTTCATAAATGGTGGACCGTGGTCTGGATCAAGATTTATAGTAAAATTTGTTTGTTTGTCTTTTACTTGCACATGTTTTCTCATGTTTACAACAATTCATTTATTGCATTAGTGTCTTTCCTAAGGCTCTCAAGTTTTRTTCTGAGCCTGGAGTGAGATTTCAAGCTGCTGACCACAGCAGTAAGAAAAGTCGCTATTGGCTGTCTTAAAAGCCGGTAAAAGAAGTCATCACCTAATTTGCATATTTGGATATTTGCCAATAATTATGATCTAGACTGTAGTTAATCAGTGTTGAAGAGAAGAAAATAAGATAAGATAGATAAGATAAAACTTTATTGGTCCCACAGTGGGGAAATTTGCACATTCCTGCAGTTTAATACAGGAKAGGCTCAGAAGAATAATRAAAGATAAATAAAAGATAAACAAAAACAACCCCACAATATACACATGTGACATATAGTAATGTACTTATACCAATGCACATATACACATATACATAAACACATATGCATATTTATGTACTGTACATATATACACCGTAAAGTACAGTACAAAAATGGATGTATATGAAGGTACATATTACTGATGCAAGTGTAGGTGAATTGTCCAGGTGACTGATAACATCATGATGTGTTATACAGTCTAACTG